CCGCATCGGGAAGGGGGACCCCCAGAGCGCTGCGCCGGACCCTCTGCGGCCCCGCCCCGTTCGGATCGGTGCTAAGTGCTGGTGTGCGCCGCGCCTGGCATCTCAGCACTGGGGAGGCTGAGGCAGGAGGATTGCCGCGAGTTCTAGGCCAGGCCAGCCTAGGCTGGACCTGTATCCAAAAAAAAAAAAAGTCGTAGGCCAGCACGGCTGTCCTCCCAGTACTCAGGAAGCTGAGGCAGGAGGATCCAACATTCAAGGTCATCCTTGGCTACATAGAGAGTTCGAGGTCAGCCTGGGCTACATGAAACCCTTTATCAGAAAAATTTTCCAAGTCACCGTTGCCTAGTTTTCCATCCCTCTGCTGTACATCCCTGAGGCCCCTGGGAGTCCCTTCCAGAACTCTGGGAACTGTCCCCACCAGCATCAGGAGAAAGGTTGTTCTTGGGAGAGGGCATAGACACAAAGCTGTTTTGCTTGGTTTTCATTTGCTGGGTCTAGGGTCTAGAGCAAGGAGTGCAGGACTCCAGAGCACATGGATTCTAATAGGTGCCTCTGTACACGGACTGGGGGACTCTAAAGACAGGCAATGTTACTTGGGACAAGCAAGGCCAGAACGGTATAGAACTCAGGTATGTACCTTCTGTGACAAGTTTCCAAGCTCCATCCTCCCAACACACACACACACACACACACACACACACACACACACACACACACACACAGGGGTTTGGGGGGCAGGTATGAAATCTTCACTCAGACCTGGCAGTCCCCCCACAAATCTGACCATTGGAATCCTTGTCTCTGTAGACCTGTCCCATCCATCCTTCTTCAGGACAGGTTTTGCTCGGGGATCTGAACTTGTCTGTCAAGGGTGTTCTGGGATCCCACAGGAGAGCATAGGGCCACATGTCACTATTTTCTGCCCATAAAGGTGAGTGACTGGAGGCTTCCCTGCTGGAACATGAGCACCCACCTTGGAATGGGGAAGGATGGGGTCCCATCGACTAGACTGGGTGTTAGGTTCTCAACAGAGCCTGTCACAAGGACACCTAGCAAGGAGGCCACATCCCCAGGCCTCATTTGCATGCTGGGGCCACCGAGTTGAGAGCCGCCTGCTGCCAGTGGATTTGAGCAGAAAGCTTTCTGTTCTTGTCTGTTGTCTCAAGGTCAGATCCAGAGCGGGGACAGGAACAAAGGCGGCTGTCCCCCACTCTACCTCCCGAGCCCGCCGGTCGCTCCTGGCTCCTGATGAGGAGAGAGCAGGGGGGGAAGCTGTTCCAGATAACCCTGCCTGGCCATGATAGTGACAGGGAGCCTTGAAGCCCTGTCTCCTCCCTGAGCAGTCTGCTCCAGTCCACAGGGTCAGTGGTCCCTGGAAACCAGACCCGGCTTTGGAGACACTGGGAGTTTGGAGCCTGAAAAATAAATGTCAGTGAAGGTCAGGGGTCACCAGAGTCAGGGGTGGGTTCAGTAGGATACCTCTTGGGTGGAGATCTGTCCTAGCTACCTGGATCCTTCATCCTCCTTGGGCTGTGCGCTCAGGCCATGGTCCACCCTATCTGATCCACACTTTAATGGCCCTGGCCCAACCTAGTCTGCACTGAGCAACCCTGCCCACCCACCTGCCACTCTGGTACACAGGGCAAGGTCTCAGGCTCCTGATCTTACTGTCTGGCGGCTCCACAGCCATCAAAGGTCACATGGCCAGGCAGGAGGCTAAAAAGATGCAGCAAGGAATTTCTCATTAGAGAATAAATTGTACCACATTGCCCACCAGAGCTGAGGCAGGGCTGGGCAGTGTGTGTGGGTGGGTGCTGGATATGGAGCTGGCCACCTGCAGAGTAAGGACAGGGTGAGTGGGCTGCTCAGCTGCAGCGATAGGCACCCATTGGGGCCCAAAGAAATAAGAATCTTTGGGTCCTGGCAAAGCATAACACCAGAGGACCTCTCCTTCTCCCTCTTCTCTGCCATCCCTCTTTCTTTCTCCTCCCTCTTTCCTCACCCCCCATATCTAGTCCACGCCGCCTCATTCTCCCATAGCTCCTCCCTCCTCCTGCCCATCAGCTTCACCTCCCCTCATGCTCAAGGCCCTGGCCTGGCCCCAAACCCAGCTTCCTACAAGACTGTCCAAGTACCCGCAGACGATGTGCTTGGTTCCCCTGGAACTCCAGTGCCTGCCCAGGCACCCTGGGGGAGATACCAATGCTAGCCTGAGCCCTACTGAGATCTCAGGCGCCTTGGCCTGCTGTCCCCTAGCGGGGCTTTATGCAATTGGGGCCACAGCTGTCAATTGTAACTTCCCAGAGAGATGCAATTGGCCAGTGACATCCACCTGCCCCCATGTCCTCAGTGGAACAGCTGAGGCCCTGCTGAGAGGCCTGGTTTGCCCACGTCCAGGATTGGGGACAGCAAGAGAGGCCTTGGTTTTTATTTTTTGTATATTGTGGTGGAGTAGTCAGAGACCAACTACAGGAGTCAGTTCTCTCCTTTGACCATGGCAGCCAGCAGCTTTACCTGCCATGCCTGTCTGCCAGGCCATGGCTCAGATTTAGGATGGACACAGGTGGCAACAGTGTCTTGAGTTCAAGCCCCTCCCCCTGTCGTGTGTATAGCTGGGGCTGGGAGCAACCCCAGGCATGCACACTCACACCTCATACATAAGCAGGTTGGCCAAGCCCCAAGGACTTCCATCTTGCCTGACAGGCCCCTCTCCTGGCTTTCAGCTGTGCAGAGTGCCGGCTAATAGTGCATTAACCTTGACGGAACTGCCAATTATCTGTGCTAATGCCGGGGTGCGGTGATTGCTGACAGGCGGATGGTGTGGTGGGGCTACCCCCCACAGGGTAGCCACAGGACAGGAGCTGGACAATGAGTTCATGCTCCCTGTGCTCAAGCAGAGGCTGGGGCAGGGGCTTGGGTCTCTTCTGACCTCATTAGACTAATCACCCTGCCTTTTGAAGCTCTAGCAATGGCTGAGCTGTGGTACCAGGGGCGCAGATCACAGAGTTTGGGGTACTGGGAACTAGGCCCATGCCAGAAGACACAATATATAGATGGAGAGTGACCAAGAGGGCACAGGGCCCCCAGAGCTGTGACTCATACGTGCTGGCTTCCCTTGGGTACAGGTTGGGGGTGCAAACCACAGAGGCTTCCTTTGGGCAGCAGGCCTGGCTGAGCAGGAACCCAGCCACTGGAGGGACACGCAGGGACAGACAGGAGTGGGCTCTGGCTAGGCTCTCCATCTAGACCACAGGATGAAAATGACCTGACATTCCTAGTAGGCCTGGGCAATCAGTCTCAGGGACCTGACTCAGGCCAGCTGGAGGGTCAGTGAGGTCTGGAAGTGGACAAACACTGGGTGGCCACATCCACATGACAGGAGCTGGACAATGAGTTCAGGCCACCCACAAGGACAGGAAGGTTGGAGAGTTCTGAAGAGGAGTTGTTCCCTAAGTAACCAGTGCGGTCCTGGGAGCTAGATGGTGTGTGACTGCCACCTGGTGGCAACTTGTTGTTATGACAAAGCAGAGTAGACTGAACAGTTGCCTAGGAAGGCTAAGGCTGTGACCTCAGGCTGCAAGCAACTTAGGCATCCCTGTTCCTCTTCCCCAAAGCTAAGATCATAGAGTGAGGGTGAATCGCTAATGTTGAACTGCAGTCCAGAAGCTCCTGGGAAACTCTGCCCCAGGTGCCAATATACTGAGGCAGAGTGTCATAGCTGCAGCCTTGGAACAAGTTTGAGAAATAAATAGGTCTCTCTAGGGACAGTGACAGCAACAGGAAGGGCCTTGTCCTAGCCAGCCAGGAATGACAATCCTCAGGGGAGGTTTCAGGTCAGCTACAAAGCCACTGCTTCGTTTATTGTCCCCAAGGCAGCAGGAAGATACACATCGAGATCCCAAGGTCCATCTGCTCCATCGTGCCTTGTAGGGCTGCCTTGTTCCTATGGGAGGCAGGATGACAGACCAGCACATGCTGGTCCAGCTTCGGGGGCACCAAGTCTGTGGGCTGTTCTCAGCGAGGTCAGGTCACACTATCCTGGCCCATGTAGTGTCCAGGGGCTGTGCAGGCTCCATCCGGGAATGTTGACACCAGAGCCCAGAGAACACATCTCTCTTGTTCTTGCGCCTGCCATCCCCACCACAACATCTGCAAGGGGAGGGACAGGACAAGACATGGGATCAAGTGATGATGGCTGGATCCTCCTTGCAACCTCGGGAAGAGATGCCCCTTCCAGGTCCACCAGGATAGGAAGAAAGACCACAGAAGGTGTTACCACCTCCTTCAGGAGCCCTGGAAAGCCAGATCTAGTGCCTAAGTGGGTCCTGGCTCTATAGCAGCCACCATCATAACAGGACAGTCAGCCCTGATCAGAACCCCACTGAGTCCACTTTCTCATCTCCAGTGCAGCTCTACTCTGTCCACAATGCCACCTCCCTCCCTGTGTGGCCTGTTTCCATTAAACCTTGCCTCCTTGGCACACTCCCAGTCCCTCACTTGGGGATTCTAAGCAAAAGTTCTCCTTCTAAGGTAGACCCTGAACTCTATTTAGGGACATGGTCTTTTGCTAACTTGTCTCAATGAAGGCCTTCCTACCATCTCAGATTCCTGGTTTCAAAGACAGTCTCTTCCTCGCTGTCCAGAGAGGCCATCTCTTCCTGCTCCTCTGTGTTGGTCAGAAGCCCATACCGCCTTCGCTGTGGCTTCTTGAGTCTGCAAGGGGCACAAACATTCTCAGAGGCTACCATCATTGGTGACATCCAGTCTATGAGACCCATCCCACCCACCCCAAGATCCAAGGCACGATGTGGATGAGTCCTTTCGCTGTAGGAGCTACAAGAGCAACTCTGGGCACAGTGAAAGCTGTGGAGGCACATGCCAGACACAGCTTCCTATTTAAAGCACAAATTGCTGTCTGACAGAGCAGCTGGGAGAAAAATGGAAGATTGAAGGCTTTGGTGTTTTGTCTTGCATTCGAGGCTGACTTTTTAATTCCCTAGCTCAGGTGGCCCTTAACTCCCGTCTCCACTTACCAAGTGTTGAGATGACAGGCATGTTATCCCCACGCAGTGCTGGGAACAGCACCCAGGGCTCTTTTGTGCATGTTAGGCAAAAGCTTTACCCACTGAGCCTCAGCCAGGGAAGTAAGTTTGAAGCCCTTGCAGTCTCCGGCGCGGTTTTTTGCATGCCTGTCATCACAGCACTGAAGAGACTGAGGCGGCTGCCCACTTAGGCCAGCCAGGAGTTAGGAACAGGAGCTAGGCCGTCTGCCCGAGTCACGTGCTCCCCCGCCCACCCCCACCCCCAGTGACTTACTAGATTCTGATTGGACGCACTAACGCACCTAAAAGCCCGGATGAGGAAGTAGAGCGAGATCAGGCCGCTGAGCCCAGTGATTACGTAGAACAGGCGAAGCAGCATGGGGCCCGTGCCTGGGGGCCCCCCTTGTGTATAGTTGCGAGG